AGCAGCCGTGTGGATGGCCACCTTTCAGGGACGCCCAAATTGTGCATTTCTGACAATTGCAGGATTGTAGGGTTGGACTAGGCAGCCTTTAGAGATCCCTTCCAATGCATGAGTCTAGAAATGTTGCAGCAACGGCAGTGAGAGAATGCTGTCCAGAGATGACACCAGAATCAACATCCACCGCTACCACAACAAATACCACCACTTCTTGTTATAAAAGAAGTCGGTGCTTTGGCAGCAAGCGGCTGGAAATCCCTCCTCGGTGCCGAGGGTTCACGGGAGTTCAACCTCAGAAGCGTGCAGTAATAAATGATTCGTAGCCTATGGTAAATCTTGCCGAACAGTTTAATGGGGAAATTAATGTTTTAACCAAGCAGAGCCCTTTATGAGGCCAAAGTGTTACAAGACTCAGCCGCCGATTCGCCGTTCAAGCACAATATGCCTCTTGGAGATGGATGGGGAAAAGAAAGGAAAAAGTTACATTTCTGGCGTTCCAGGAATACATGGATTATAACCAAATAAACCAGCATTTGGGCCTCCCAGACTTTCAGAATGGAGAGATTATTTATTTTACCAGTAAAGACAAGCGCTGCACAATTTATGGCTTTTATTGTGGACGTTCAAAACAGCCCCCATCCAAAATATAAAAAGACCCCGTTGTGTCATCACAGAACAAGCGCCTGGACGCGGCAAGTTTAATAAAAGTTTAATAACAATCTGCTCACAAGTTGCCCTTCTCCAAAGTCCAGGAGTGCATTGCGAAGATCTGTTTACTGATTTATTATTTATTATTTACCTATTAATGTAATTTTTTTCATCCCTTCCGTTTATCTCAGGGTGTCAAACGTAGAAAACAACACAAACACCTTGAACAATTCCAAATCAAAACCGGTCAACAATTTAAAACAAGATTAAAAACACTTTTTAAGCAGCTCAAACAAGTTAAAGCCACTTAAAAACAGCTCTCGCACATTGCAAAAATAAAGCAGTTTGACGCCACTTGAACTGGAATGGCTCCTGGGATTTGTAGTTGGGTGAGGTATCCGGCCTTTGTCAGAGAGCTCTGGGGCCTCACCAAACTACAAATCCCAGGATTGTGTAGGATAGAAAATTGTGCCAAACTGCTTTATTTCTGTAACATGGATACACCCCAAGAGTGTATTCACACAGCACAGTTACAGCACTTTGAAACCATTTCAACTGCCATAGCTTCATCATATGGAATCTGTAGTATGAGCTGCGTAGAAATCTCTAGAGTATCCTCCTGAGAGACAGTGTAGTTTCAGCATTGAACTATGGTTCTGGAGACCAGGATTCGAATCCCCACTCAGCCTTGGAAACCCACTGGGTGACCTTGGGGGAGTCACACTCTCTCAGCCTCACCAAAACCTTGAATTCAGAAATGAACTGAATTAACAAGATTCGGGCTGTGGAGTTCTATTCTGAACCCAAGTTCAGGTTTGTAAACCATCCACACCTTCAGGCCTTGGAACTCATATGAGAGAATCAGTCAGGAAAAAGGGTTTCTCTGAGGATGTGCAAAGTGTTTTTCTTTCCCATGGACATAACCCAGCAAGCTGTAAAGCAATGGGAATAGCAGCAGATGTGGTGGCTTTTAGAAAAATGTGAGTCCCAGCTAGAAATTAATCACTGACAGATGCAGAAAGTGTTTAGGAAATGGGAAGTCAGGGCTAATCTACCTTTTCCCCCTTCCACGCACCATAATAGCAGTGTAATATCTGAATATTCATCAGATGTTCAAAGCCATTAAGAGTTTACATTTTCATAGTGCAAACTTCTTCTTCTTTATTATTATTTTTCTTTACCCGTTCTTAAATCCCTTTTTTTATACGGCATCTTAAGTAGATCTTTGGGAATTTACAAGATAAATACTGGTAATTTGATTCTTATCTCCTTTAAATCCAATTCTAAGCCAATTCCGCGTAAGGGACACTAATTATAGCCTATGGGGGAATGAGGAAGGGGAGGAAAAAGGTAACCGATCAGCGCAAATATACTTGGAGCACTTAAAAGGGGACGGGACGCTGAAAAGTTAAATGGATTTCCAAACGGCTTTCGCCAGGGCTGCAATTTGTTAAGTGAAAATTATTTCAGCCACACTCTCCATGCACAGGATCACGCTTGCTCCATGTAATCTTATCAAGGCTGCACGGAAAACACGCCAAGATGCCAAGGCAGGTGGCAGAGGGTTGCAGCGTTTTAAGCCTGCCGATCTCTTTAAGGCTGCCTGATCTTTCCCGCAGAAGATATGGCTCAGGTCCAGGAGATCCGAAGGAGGTCCGTATCTTCCTACGATGAGCCTCTCCATGCTCTGAGATTTTGGGGACGGCTCTTTTTTCAGTCCCTCTCCATCTCAGAGGCAAGCCTGGTGGGATGACCAAGATGGGAGAAGGCTTTC